ATATTTCTGTCTTTCTATCTCCCTCCCTTTCTCTCTGTCTGTCTGTCTCTCTCTCCGTTGCTACAATACACTATTAATAACAACATGATTGGCAATAATAATATGATAACAAGTAACACTACCTGCAATGCTTCTTTCTCTTCAGGAGACAACAGTGAAACAAACATTAACCTCTGCCTTTAGAGAAGAGAAAAAGATTGTTACATTAAGACAATAGTTCAATTACTAAAGTGTTGACTATCACTTAATGTGTAAATCCAATTTTGTAAGATCATGTGATTAAATTTCTAATTACTTTAAAATGAATTACTATATAGCTAGAATATTTGGTGGAGTAAAATTATGGCGCTTTTGGGGAACTGAAGTCTGTTTGCCAAATTTATAGTCACCTATTTGATAAAGTTCCATAGAAGCATAGACAGAGTTAAAATTTTGCCAAAATTTTAACGTCCAAACCTCTTTTGAAGCCAATTTGCCAAACGTTAACACTCCAAATTTTCTATCTATATGTTATACGATTGTTCAGTTACATTTCAATGCATGTACATGTACATGTACATCTCTTTATACCTTCAATACAATGACCACTGGCAATATGGTAGTATCCTCAGAGGTGTACGTGCAAGTTTGATTTTGATGACTTAATTGCCTGCTATCATGTCATTCAGATAGTCCCAATCTAATTCCCTACAAATCGTAATGATAACAAAAATAACCACTATACACTGAAATTTATATTTAATATACAAGAATTATAATTACTCAAATGTACATGCACAATACATGTATATATACCATACAGCGCATAATGATACAATGTAATTATTATTAATTTTGTAATAAAGCACTTTAAAATGGATTGATTGTTAATACTTATATCAAGATTACATGTAAGTACATGCACGTGTACATACTGCTTCTTACTATTGTTTTGTTGCCAAACTGTGATAGGACAAAATTGCAAATCTTGAAATATGTGTAGCTACATGTACATGTAGTTTAGCTGACAATAATAGAGAAAGAGAAAGAAAGAGATGAGAGTAGAGTGGAAGTTAAGAATAGTGGTGTGTGTGTGTGTTTCAATTACTCACAAAACCATGAGATTAATTGACCAATTTTGTCCTCACTTATAGTTTGATGGCAGTTAATAAGCTCATACAAATGATACAGAGACTGAGTAACAAAAGTATTTTGCCTAGAGAGAGAAATAGAGGGACAAATTAAAGGATTAAGTAAAAATAGGAGTGACAGAAACACAAAGAGAAAGATATTTCATGTATGTACTCTCAATACTGACTCAACCCACTTCCATGACTGCCCCAATAACGTTAAACTAATAATACTAGACGAATGTAAAACATTGAAGGGGCGAGCCTACGCAAGCGAAGCAATATACATACATGTACAATAGATCTTTACAGACTAACATACATGTACAATACTCGAGCATTATTGTGCAACCATGAGATATTAGAGTGGTGCAACTAAGCAGGCTCAGAGCTCATGGATGTATAGTTCTTGATGATCTACCTTTGTATTCTCTGCAACAATTAAAGCTACCTTGCTTATAGCATTTAGCAAGCATTAAAGTTAGCTAAAAGCAGTCATTATACAAATAATAAAGCTAGATAGGCAACTGTCTGTAGCAATGTAGTTTTTGGCTTCATGCATACTTTAAGTTAATTCAACTTCACAGGCTGAGGCCTGTCATTGACATTCACTTCATCAGAGTAATTTACATCAAAGAAGAACATGACATGTCTGCTTTCTTAACCTTCCTTGCTGCATTTGGACAGCAGTACAGTCAAATCAGTCTTGCAAGAATTTTCAGTTTTAATACTGAGCTGCCATTTTATTTCACTGTGGCCACACCCTTCTTCAATGAAATTATCAAGTTTATTAAAAAGTGGAAATTTTTTCATACTGATAGGGGTGACGTTCGTCTACAAACAAACAGACTTACATACCCTTCTCGTTTATGTGGGGCTCGCTCAGGCTCGCCCCAATTATACTGAAATGAAAACAAAATATCCCCAAATGATACTGACATGTTCTACATTACATATATATGCATACATATCCGAATGGACATGCTTACTATTCTATAGAAAACTGCTCTTTCTCTGATAAACTGTTCATTGTTGATGGAGAAAAAGAAAGAGAAAGAAAAAGTTACAAGTTAACATACAAAGATTGTCCATTTCACTTACTCAAATACTCTGACAATTGATCCAGTACTATATACATCTACATGTAAATTAAAGCAAATAAATGTATACATATACATGTATGTATGCATGTATACATGCATGTAGAATGCACATACTGTACATGTTGTACTCACAGGCTGTCCCTGTAATGATCAAAATTACTCTTTCTCCTTTTTACCCGGTAGTAGTCGGCCTTTATAGCAGATGGCAAAACTAGCTTACATTATACATGCACAATTCACATCGTACCTAAAAATAATAAATTTAGATACTGCAGTACATGCACAAAAATACAAAATAAATCTTTTAGTGAAAAATTCATTACTTGTAGTGCAATGTCCACTTAAATTTATGAGCTAGTGACACAGTACATGTAAATCTACTGCACTGAGACATAATAAAAGTACATTGTACATGTACATGTACATGTGTATGTACCTATAATGTTGAAATGTTTTCAAACATACATGTGTACATGTATGTGTGAGTTAATTTCCATTTTCTGGACTGACACTACATGAATGCAATTATATACAATAAAATGGCATTTGAGGTGCTTTAATTAAATTTAATTTTGCGAGGAAAAAACAAAAACAAGACAGCAAAACAATCACTGCATGTATAGGGTAATTATTGGGTAAAGCCCTTACTGATGAATTGCATCCGTCTGTACAAGCAGGTCTTTTAACTGTTTTTAAACTTACTTCATTCATGATATACATGCACATGTAGTGTGGCTTGGGGAGGACATTCTTCTAGTAAATTAACAAGAGCTACAAGGGTTAGTAAACATTGTCAAGTAGATGAGGGGTTGATATGAGCATGTACTTTCATAGCATCGGTTACATTGGTTACTTTGTATGAATCTTGCCAAAATAGCAACACATGGTCAAATGGATGACATTTATGTGCTGGAAAAAAGGCAAAAATGATTCTATAATTTGAGGTCACTAATAAGGGCTGGCCTTAGGTATGTACAGGTACAAAAACATGCACTGTATATATGGGCACACATGTAGTACTGACTAATGGTATACTTTTTAGGCTGCTTTCATAATAAATTCGTAAAAATTAATCAACATCTGAATTTTCCCTTTTGTAAGCTGCCCTGTGACTCTGTTTACACTTTGTCTAATCCACCAGTGTCACCATTTTTTCTAATGAAACGAATAGGCGTGTGAAGTATTTGAAAATATTTAAAAATAAAGATGAAGGAAGCAAAGACCTACAGCTGTAGTTTGGTATTACTTTGATAGTTTCTTGCTTTCGCAGATGCAGGATGTCCCAGCCCGTGATGTGAGTATTAATTTGGTAATTTTGCTATTAATAAATTAACTAAGCACAGGCCTGAGTGTTAAAGCTTCATCTACCTACCCAGCACTTATTTTTGCCTATATGTAGCACTGTGGAGAGTTTTTCCATTTTTAAAAGTAATGATACTGGTAACTATGGAAACCACAGTAACTGTGGTAACTGAGAAGCTACAGTGGTATAAGTATATTATTTCTCTCCTTCTCTACATGTATAAGCAAGAGTCTTGGTATAAATGAAAATAAGTTAAGAACCTGAAGGGACCACATGGCTTAATCATGTTATGCCAAATTGCCAGTACATGGTGTACGTTGAAGTGCAGGTAGATATACATGCATTCATAATACATGTAATACCTAGGTATATGTATTATGTAAAGCTATATAGCTGACCCTTGAAAATTACCTCTATACTTTGCAATCCTCATGTTTGTCCAACTAAAATTCACAAATATTAGTTAAGTTTTGATAGCTTCAGGCATGTGAATTGATATACTGTATAGCTATGACATGTTTACTTAGTGACATTTTGTATTATTATTGCATACAAGCATAGGCGTAGGAATGATTCAAAAGTTGGGGGGGCTCAACATTAAAAAGCATGACTTAGCATGTAAACATGGGGGGCTAAGCCCTTCTTGCTGAAAAGTTGGGGGGGGGCTGAAGCCCCCAGCTCCCCCATTCCTACGCCTATGACATGTACATGTAGGAATGATTTAGTATTCCATGACAACATAAACTGCAATTGACTAGCAAACAAAGCCATTCATTTAGGTAATCACATGTTTGTCATCAAAAAGCATTCACAAGGATGTTTCATTCATTAATTGGCTGTCAACAGTGAGTTACACGTACATGTAGTTTAGTATTTTTTCTAATAATAACTAGACGAGTGTAACAGTTATAAGTAGATGAGATAAAGATGTACTTTTCATTGTTCAGTTTTGCTAATGCTTGCTGATACTCTGGTTGCCCATGTTATTGGTTGCTACAAATTTGGTGATGGATTGTCCTATTTAAAATGACAAGACTGTATTAAAAATAAAGATGACATCAAAAGGTATGTACATATGTCCTCAGATCGCCTTCATATTGTTATTAGCAATTGTGGCAGGAAAGAATTTGTGAACTGTGGCATTTATTACTGTGGTGCATTAAATAGAATTACATGTTAAGCTGCATCAGGATGTAGACAGCTGCCGCCTGCTGCAAGGAGTTATTGTCACGGAAATAAAGATCATATTGTGATAATTGTAGGCAAGGAAATTGTTTTTGCTGCTGCTGCTATTTATTGAATGAAACACTTCCTATAGATTGAATGAAAGTTAAAACTTGTGCAAAAGTGTCAGAAGAGTTATCCAAAAAACCCACAACATGTCCAGAAATTGCAATGGGCCGTGCGGACATTTCTTAATAATTATATTCATAGCATTCAATAATTATATTCATACGTAAATAATTTTATTCATTGATTAATAATAATATTCATAAGCGTTACCACGGTAACAAAATGGCGCGTAAATGCAAACAAACTGTCACTGCTGGTTTCTACAAGGAGCTACATGAAAAGGAAGAATTTGTTGAAAAAAATGATCAATGTTTGGTAGTTAGTGGTAATGAAACTGATGTATATGAAGTGGAGAGGTTAATAGACAAGAAAGTTAAGAAGGTATGTATCAGACAGTTTTCTTGGAAGACCGTGAGACTTAAAAATTTAACTCACAGGGCCATGTAGTGTATTTAGTTCTTTGGAAGGGGTATTCAAAAGAGGAAGCTACTTGGGTGCCAGCTGAAGATATTACTGCCACGGCGATAAGGTAGAGTGATCATTCATTAAAGCTATTTTTGTACAATGCTGGACTGACAGTTCATTTATTATAATTAGGTTATATCATGACCCAGATCCATGCAGGAGAGTACTGATGGATGATATTAGTACACTACGATCTTCGTTACAATTTAGTTTAAAATCTGGAATCCTCCGTAGACGTAAAATATCAATACCATTTCATCGTCACACCTTTAACTACCTTTTTAATGACAAAGGAGAAGCTGTTAAGTGTAAGCCTGGAAAGTTATATGTCAGAGCTGATTTTCCATCACAGTACTTTGAAGATAGTTTCTTTAATTTCTACAATAAGTTTGGAGAAGGTTGCTGTGTAGAATTTCCAATTTATATGTACAGCCACGTATCATACCATCAAAAGTCATTCTACTGTGACAAGACACCCAGAACCAGAGGCTTCAACGAGACTCTTTCTCTGACTATTGTCAAATCATTTCAGTCATGACTGCATGCCTAGGCCATATTGTTTTTGATTTACATGATACTGTAACAATAATTCATAATTATTATACTTATATGCATGCTAAATAATAATGTGTAATAAAACTAGTGGACCACCCTATTAGATCTAACATGTGTCTGGCTTGAGGTCTGGCTCAGGCTCGAATTCTATCTTTCTTCTCTTTTCTCTAATACCAAGTTCCCAGTATGATGTGTCTTTCTTTTCATATTTCCTCTTTGCTCTTTTGCCATGTTGCAGTTCTTCCACTCGGCTGTCTGTTAATAAGATGTCTCTGGCAGCATCTTGGTGGTTGCTAGAGAAGAAATGTTTCCTAGCACAATCATTATTCTTCTCAACTCCTACATAGTGATTTAAGTAGATGTCAGTAGAGAGTCTATGTACCTTGACCGCTAAATCGTTTGATACCTGCATGGCATTTCATTAAATGAGGTATGTGATATCCCATAACGTGCATGTACGGGGTAACATTTGACTTGCTGTAACCATCATATGGGAACTTTAAGAAGTCCTGTATCCACTGTAAGGCCTGTTTAATGTAAACAGATGATATGATGGTTAAATTTTACTTTGCTCTGTACTGTAAGAGTTTCATCATCAGTTGGATTTGAGATGCCAATCATCTCATAAATGACTTTGAAATCCTGTATTATACTTCAAAATATAAGTTATGATAAAAATAATGCTAACCAGCCAGTGTTTCATCAACTGCCGACCAAGCTCATTAGGAAATACATTTACCAGTTTTGCTGGCAGTTCGTTTAAGAGCTTTTTACGGTCACTACCACGTAATGATGTCCAATCCAACTCGTCCTTCTTTGTTTTAGACTTCCATACCTGTAATATAAAGTTAGTGCTAATTATGTCTGAAATTTATTGGTTTTTACATGGAACGTTATTCCACAGGATTGAATTAAGTTGCATATCATGTCGACATGTCTGGTGCTATTTTTTGTAGTGATGTCTTTCAAGTCTAGCGCCTGACCAATTCCTAATAGATTTCTAATTAATACGTCCGAAATTCTTAACAACAAATGTAACTCATCAATTACAACCTGTAAAAGTTAGTAATATTATAATTATGCTATGTTAGAAACCTGTTCTAGCTCTATTTCAAATAAAGGTTCTCGAAGGACGCCCATAGCCTTAGACTTAGCACAAGACTTAATTGAAGCCAGTGACCGAGCTTGTTTTGTCTCATACTCTTCGGTGGGAACAGTTGTATCAAATCTATAAACAAAGTAAGTTATGTTGCTGTATAATTATAAAGAATTCACCTTTTATCCTTTTTAATGGTGCAGTATATGCATGAATAATTAGAATGAGCAGCATTCATTCCCAGAAGCAATAGCAAAAACTAAAGCATTTATAGTATTGCTATGGTATAAACGTGAGATTATTTTCTAACCTTATAGTCTCCTCCAAGAATAAACTTTAGGCTATAAGAGACTCCCTGAATAATTATAGAAGGTTTCCGAACCATTTCATTGATTTCCTTAATGACAGGTGCAAGTCCATTCCTTATTACATCATATTTCTCTTCTCCCTTTATTACTGCTAGAGTGTGTGTCCCTACAGAAATTAAAAAGAATACGGATGATAATGTTTCATACCAGTTGCAGAGGATGACTTGGGGTCAAGTAGAGGAAATGAAAACGATAAAAGTATAAATGAAGATGAACGGTAAAACGGTGCTCCATCACCAGATATTTTTACTTCAATAGGTGATTGTATATGATGCCCACAGTCCAACAATCGAGATAATGACAACTGCAGGTAATTGCAAAATGGAAGGTACCAGCCTTGAGGTAGCTTTTGAATATTAACAGTTGACGAAAGACTTTTTCGGAGACGTTTTACTGTATATGATCGGGGAAGAGACTTTTTGAGCATGGACAGCTCGTGGTAAAAATCATCCGATACGCCGTAGGAATCTAAAAGATAGAGAATTTGTTGTACAGATGAAGGTGAATCAGGTGGGTTGCTTGATTGTTGACTAGAGGCTTGAGACGATGATGCTGATTCGATTTCAGGTGTTAGAGCAGAGAATGAAGAAGTTGACAAAGAAACTGGTGTTGACAATGGAGAGAGGGAGGAAGATGATGATGGGTGAGTAGGTGAATAGTTAAATATAACTGGATCACAAGGTGGCTGCCGTTTCTTGAATGAAATTGATGTTAGATCAAGATTGTATGAGCCAGCAAACTGTAAAGCTTCTTTAGCTGACTCCTTCAATGTAGCTAATTTACGTCTCTGCTGGCGCTCACAAACTTGATCTAAATCCTTCCCTTTATTGTTTGCGGGTTGGCTATTCCTTAGCTGTACTAATTCTTTCTCTTTTCTTTGTAATGTAGCTCTGTATGAAGAAATTGATATTAACACTGACACTCTACTCATGCTACTACACATCTACTCAGCACTCAAGTATCTCCAAAGCTGCTATATACACTCAATTCCTTACCTTAAGACCTTAATAGCTTCCTCAGGATTAACAATGTCAGATGTAAGCACATCCATTAATGTGGATTGACTCAATATTTTCTTTCTGTATCCATGTTTTACATTTGTAGTTAATCGTGCTCCTTTCATCTTCAATTTCTTCTCCAACGAGCTTAGCAATGAGACTCCTACCAGTTGCTTATTCAGCTGGCTGACCATAGTTGTAGCTGAATTGGCTAATTGTGCTGCATACCACTGGTAGAGAAACTTATTTGGTATAGAGAGACAAAAGCAAACATCATTAGCATTAGCAGCTCTGTATATATTAGTACAAGCACTCTCAATAGTGACAGAGGACATTATCATTACACAGCTGCAATGCAGATAATGCAATGACCGCAATGGGACAGTTCAAAATTTTTGCTACTTTGAACGGGTAAGTCCACACTTTTTTGTTACATGACTGTCAATTTTTTTATACCATATTGTAGCTTAGAAGATCTATTTAAAAGGGCAAAGTGAAACAAAGGAAATTTATTTTACAATACTCTGTTATAATTCGTTAAAAATGAAAAATATTGTAAACACGCTAATATGTCAATGTAAAATGGCGGCGTCAAAGTCTTCATCTTCGTGACAAAAGTTCCACGGTTTAACTACATTTCTTTAGCCAACCTACAAAGTAAAAACAGGTGTTATATGATGTTAATAAGTTCTCTAAGTGAAACGAAGCAAAATACGTTTATCATTAGAAATGGACGGGAGAAAATACAGCTCCCTTTGTATTGCTAAGAATGGTCATTTTTAAAAATGCGGAAATATACTAATAATTTGTTTCCGTGTCCCAGCATTTCTGGACATGAACTCATGGAATGCATTACATGGTATGTTTTGAAACAAAAAAGTGTATGCTTTAATTGTTTGCTAGCTGATTGAACTGTTGATAACATGTTAACCTACAGTGTATGAAGATAATCAATTGATATTTTAGTTGATTATTTAATGTTATCTTCCCTTTATAATAACCATACATGTACATGCATATATTATGAGGCTCTGTCCTGGCCACACCATGACAATCTGAATGTGTATATGCAGTACTGATTTATTGATAGCACTGTTTGAACAAACCAAGTTTTAGTTTATATGTAAGTGAACAATTCCTTCACTTATAGGCGGGGAGTCAATTAATCAGAATAGTATATTCACACCCACAGATGTTAATGTAACAAGTTCAATTATATACATGAAAGTAATAATAATCATTACATGTATACAGGAAATTTTTTTTCTCTATTTCTCCCTCACTTCCTTCTCATCTCTTTTGTCTTATTAAGATAGGTTGTATATTATTTCTGATTTTTGTCTTGGCTTTGGTGTCTTCAATTATGAAAGCTGTATAGACAGAAGTAAGTACATGTGTGTGTGTTATTGTAGCTTACCTTTCTTTATTACACTTTGTTGTTTGTTCTTTAAAGTTACCAGTACACATTGATGAATAACAGTCTAGTACATGGTCTGATACAAGCTACAAGGATGGAGGTACAATAGCAAACTGTATAGTAATGTCAATAATTCAACAAATATTGACAACACCCAGCAATCACCAACTATTTCTAATCTTCTTCTCAACTCAAACTCTCGATTCTCTGATGTAAGTTAATACTACTCTCTGTAACACTCCAATGTATGTATATACAATTTACTAAATATATTTTGTTGGCAACTTGTCACTGGTAGACTGATTAGAGCAGAGTGTGGTCCAGTCGCATTACAAACACGACTGGAATGGGTGCTAACTGGCCCGATTTCGTCAATTGAGCAGTATAAAAGTGCTACTGTGACAACATTTGCATTGCAGACGAGTGCAAACAATAATAAAAAGGAACTGGTGAGATGATTGGGGCCATTTTGAGACTTAAAATCATTGGGAGTCTTGGATCAGAAGAGCTCACTCTATGAGCAGTATAAGCGAAATATAGTATTAAGAGATGGCAGATACGAAGTACCTTTACTGTGGAGAAGTCCATTGCAGGACATTTCGTATAATTATCAATTGTGACCATAATTGATAAAAGGTACCTTATGGCGGATTTTTAAATTCATCATTATAATTAATAATATCAACCTCTGAGTGCTCTGTTAGACAAGTACTGCCTCTAAAAGTGACAATAACTTTTAGCATCCTCTGGGGTAGTTTCATGACAAATAGAGCTCAGAAAGTTGGATTTTTATTGCTACAAAGACAAATTTTACTACCCGCCATAAGGTACCTTTAGTCAATTATGGTCACAGTTGTGTGTTAGATAACTAAGGAGTCAACTAAGAAGGTTAGAATGAGATCCAAGACAGCTCAGAGAATGTGATGACATTATCCAAGGTCTATTGACAAATAGGATTATGAAGCAGGTACCAGAGCCAGAGATAGAAGGTCATTATAAAATACACTACTTGTCTCACCATGCTGTCATACAACAAGGCAAAGAGACTACTGAAATCTGTATTGTTTACGTTGCATCTGCTACATCAAATGTAGCTTCCCTGAATGAGTGTTTACACATTGGACCAAAGTTGAATCAGCAAATTTTGGAGATACTTCTTAGATTCACATTTTATAGAATTGCTTTGATAGCACACATTGAGAAGGCATTCCGTATGGTGTCAATTGATTCCAAGGATAGGGATGTATTGCGTCTTACTTGGTATGATTAGATCAATAACAAAGAGCCTGAAATGAAGGTATTTAGGTTTAGTAGAGTAGTAATTGGTGCGGCATCTAGCCCTGTTTTGCTAAATGCTACTGTACCTAATCATATGGAAGGCTGTGAGGAATTATTTCCCTCTACAGTAGCTGAACTGATGCACTCAATGTATGTAGATGACATGGTATGTTGTGCCAATACTGAGAGTGAGGCATATACTTTGTATTTAGAGTTTAAAGACATGCTTGCCAGAGGTGGATTTAATCTGCATAAATTTATTACTAATAATGTTAACCTTCTGAATAAAATTCATGAGAGAATGAGACTCCCACAGGTACCAGTAACTGAATGCAAGGTACTTGGGAATCAGTGAAAGGTTAAACCTGAAAGTCTAGTATTTAATGTCTCAGAAGTTGTTGCTAACGTAGACGTGTGCTTGCCAACAAATAGGTCAGTGGTAGGAGTAGCTAGCCGGTTTTATGACCCTATCAGTATTTGCCAGTCATCATCGTATTTACGATCTTTTTACAAGATTTCACTAAGTCTGGAATGAACTTGGATAAACTGTTGACTGATTTATTATTGGAGAGGTGGAAGACACTAATAAAATGTCTGCAGAATAGCCAACCCACTACTGTTCCTACATTTTATTTGTCACTTGAGTGAGTCTGATTCGTATTGCTTATGTGGCTTTTGTGATGCCTCCAGCACTGCTCATGCTTCTGTTGTTTATTTTGTCATTAATCATGGAGGAGTGCGTCCAGCTAAATTTGTTTCTTCTGAGACTCAAGTGGCACCTATTAATGCACGGACAATTCCACGACTTAAATTAATTAAAGCACTTTTATTATTTCGTCTCATGAACACTGTAACCCAGAGTTTTGAGGGTAAGTATGCTACACTGATTCCAAGATAGCTTTGTACTAGATATACGTTGTTGATCAAGACTTGAAGCCATTTGTCCAGAATAGTACTGAAGAGATTACGAAACTGATTTCATCCACAAGATGGAAGCATTGTCCTGGAAGGGATAACTCCTCACATCAGGAATATCATTGATAGAGCTGAAAAATAACACAGAATGGTTCAATGGACCAAACTGGCTATCAGAATTAGAGATTGAATCTCATACTATAACTGAGATGCCTGATGAGTGTGCTACAGAGTTGAAATGCATGAGTGCAAGCAAACACTGAGTCTTTTGACTACAGACAGATATAGCCTCTCTTGCATTATTCATACAAAGAAATATAGCAGTTTAAATAAGCTGCTTTGAGTCACTATTAATAATTTGAAGTTCATTCTTATATTGAATAATAAAGAAATGGATTATATTGGTTTGAAAACACAGGCAGAAGCCTTGTGGATTAAAGACACTTTGAATGCAGTCATCAAATTGGATTTGTACTCCTTGGACATCCTCGAGCCCTTCAAAAAAACATACACAAGTGTATATGGTGTGTGTAGTTGTGAAAACCACACCTGTCACTCCACATGTTCAATAAAATCATTCCTATTCTTCTAATAATCTTCATCAGAATTTGTGCCTTGCGACTCATGTAAGTTAGTTCTATGCGGTAATGTTTCGGCTACTATTGAAGTTAGACATTCTACATAACAAGTTATCTTACTCTTGCTATGTACATATGGCAGATTCCAACCTACATGTGCATAATTAAACAAATAATCTTATATAATTTGCACATTACATTTATTACCTAATTAAATGTTGTCCTGTTATTTGTATGGCTTCATGACTAATATGTATAGCAATAATCCAACATAACCTAAGTGAAACAACTTAATGAATGAATAATTCCAATTATACATGTAGAAACATACCTTAAAGCCTGCAATTCATACAATTTTTCATTATCATGCTTCCAGTCTTGTGCTATAAAAAATCAGTAAAATCGTTTAGCAATTTAGCATGTAGTTTTACTTAAAACACTCTCTGTAGAACTATTCAACAACCTCGTTGATTCTTCCAGCATCAAGCACTTAATCATTTTCTGAAGAACTAATGTGAATAATAAAACTGTCGACACATTAAAAAAATCATTCTGTGTAATCTTCAAATCCATTCTACAAATGTTATGCCTAAAAATGAATGAATTACTAATTTTTATAATAGCTGACTCATATTTTCTTAGTCTTGCACCTAGAGTAGTGGTTTAGTGCCTCAGTTAAGACATCAGCTCTGTGCAGAGCTCTTTTTTTTGTCATTCTGCAAAATCTTCCCAGATATGATGACAGTCTCTCAAGATTTTTTCCATTACACAATCCAAATCCGTCCTTATTCCTTGGTGAAGAACATAAGAAATTTATAGAAACAAAGTTCAGTAGGTTTCTGAATGACCAAAAAAATACAAAATGAAATACAAAATAAAAATTTTACTTTTGACGCAATTTCTTTCTACAGTGTACTTTCAATGTTATTATGTAGGAATTACTGATCACCTTGCAATGTAGAGTAGAATTTGCATCACGAGTAGGATTTTCATTTCGTATTTTCATTGGAATCCTACTTAACCTTTTGTTTTTTAAACTTTTAACGTTCTTGTTTGTGTCGATTTTTTAAAATATTTATAATATTTCTTTAGTTGCCATTGTGATGCTTGTTGATTTTACGCAAACAATAATTTTCTATACTATTATTATCATTGGTATGACGTTACATCATGTATGAGAGACAGCATTGAATAGACATGCTGAAGGAATATCAACTATCCTGATGACAAGTGAAATTAATACTAGTCTTGACACAAGTCCTTGTTTAAAAAGCTGTCAGCTGAGAGTGTCCATCTTCCCTGCAATGTTGCATCTGTTCCTGTTCTTCCAGGCTGTTGTCATTCATATTATCATTGCATATGATAACATTAATTAATTAATTTGTTTGTTTTTTAAAATGAAATAAAACCACACACTTGATAAAACAGTAATATGTAAGATTAATACCTTCTTTTAGCTGGAATAAGTTGATTCCAAGCGTAGCTGAGTAAAAAAATTAATTGCTTCTTCCAGAGTTGCAGATCTGCTGAATATGAGCAACCACACCCAAATATTTGAGCAAATGCTTCTTTAATTAACAAAATGGCGGCATGCAGCTAAGACGGTTGTAGCCAGCAGTCAC